AGTAGTTTCCTTAAACCATGTGATATCCCTCTCCTAATCAACCCAGTAGTTTCCTTAAACCGTGTGATATCCCTCTCCTAATCAACCCAGTAGTTTACTTAAACCTCGTGATATCATTCTCCTAATCAACACTCTAATATCTACAAGCTATGCAATATCTATCATGACCAAGAGACTTAAAATTAGAACCCGATGCAGTTTATTAGCCTAACTAATCTCCACTTAAGCCATGCGCTAATACCATGTCAGGATATTACATCATCGACACCCCCCCCCCCCCCCCCCACGCAAGACCAATTCCAGGTATATCTCAAAATTATGGTTTCACAAAATAAAATAATATCAGATAGATTAGGCCTCATCGGTTTACACCGGATGTTGCGCGTCGCTGATATCTAAATGACATGCGCACACCTTGCCTGCGCAGGAAGCTCGCCTAGACATAATAAACAATTATTTATAAGTGCAGGTAACGAGAAATCACGGCGCGAGATCTTGACGGGAATTTAAAAAAAACTGGGGGCACTATAGCCCAGGTGTGGATGTAGCTTTTGTTACAGATCATGTTGGTGATGTTGAGTGATCTGTGTTTCACAACATGCAAGTAATTGCGGCAGTGGTTTAAATAGTTTAAAATAGTTCCAGATGCAGCCAACAACTGTAGACACGCACGACTTCACAGGTTATAAATATAAGTGCAGTTAGGTTATAATCTAACCTTTTACATGTGCTTTAGATTAAAACCGGCGGGGTATCAAGTGGGTATGGGAGGGGCGGGAAGCCGGGCGCAATATTTCATGTCGTTTTTAGACAAATATAGCACACACATGTGTGCATATATATATATATATATATATATATATATATATATATATATATATATATATATATATATATATATATATATATATATATATATATATATATATGTATGTATGTATATATTGTTCTCCTCCATAGAATCAGAATCCCTTTTATTGCTTTTTTAACTAGATTTACACAATGTTCTAAATCTACCAAGGCACCTTTGAAAAAATACTGGTGGCAATATATCTCAGCATTCTTCCACTAAAAGGTAATTTTAACGAGTGCTTAAGATAGTAATGCGAGGGGAAGCAAAATTTAATGGCTAGTAAACACTTTTGTAAACTAGAGCTCCATTAGTTTATGTGTCCGTAATTTGTGATTGTAAATATTCTTAAACAGTGATAAATATTTAAATGCTAATTACTGTTCCGTATGTTCTTATGTTCCGTATGTTATTATTATTTAATTAAATTAAGCAAAGATTTAGAACCCGCTGAATTCTGATGAAATGGCGACTTTCCCGTACCTGATCCGTACATATGGCGGGCTATGTTGCTTTTGATATGAGTTAGGCCTTACCACATGGTCCTTATGTCCCGTGCCGCATGGTCCTTATTAGGACCAGGACCTTATGTCCCACACAAGAGGACGACATTATAATTTGTGTTATACTAGCCGTCCCGGCCAGGCCCTGCTCTGGCTTCTGTGAAAAACCTTTCTGTTAAAGACCATCACCTGTGTGTTTAGTAATCATTATAAACCCGGCGTTGCCCACCCAAACCACAACCAACCAAAACCAAAACAACAAAACGCAAACATAACGCTAACACAATTACAAATACAAACGAAAACAAAAACCTAACAACAAACCCAACCACAACCACAAACACCAATACAAACACAAAGAAAAAACAAACTAAAAAGCAAACGAAAACAAAAACCTAACAACAAACCCAACCACAACCACAAACACCAATACCAACCAATAACAACAAAAAAAAAAAAAACGAAAAAGCAAACGAAAACAAACCAAATCCAAACGCAAAACCAACCACAAACACAAATACAAACCCAAAGAAAAAAACACAAACAGAAACGAAAAAAGAAAGAATAAAAACGAACCAAATCAAACCGCAACCACTAACGCAAACCCAACCTAAACACAAAGAAAACACTAACGCGAACATAAACGCAAAGTGCTCACAGTCTAGCCCGGGGCGGAATCGCCTGTTTTAGCTTAATAAACGACTATAGTACCCCAACTTATTCATAGTCTTTTGCACTCACTTAAACGAACGCGCCTGTTTCAATTTAATGAACAATTATAATACTCCAAGCTTATCCGTAAAATACCTACAACATTTGCACTTGATCAATCCCCGCTAATTATGTAATTTTTTTTTTCCCAACACCAAAACAAAGTAATAAAAAGTAAATTATTTTCCACTAATGCAATGGTTTTATAAAGGGAAGTAATTGTGTTTTCCTAATTTATCAAAGGGAAGTAAGTGCTATAGGACTAAATAAAGACATAATTAGAATTTTTGTAAAAGATGATATTTTTTTAAAACTTGTGTTTACTGAACATGCCGAAAATTATTACTTTCAGTTTGATAAATGAAAATTATTTCCCATAACTTTCAATATTAATTTTTTAACTCATAAATTTAGACCATAAGGACTTTAATTATCTAACACTTAAATCCATCGAAGATCCACGACAAACATATGTGTTACATACAGAATTGAGCTTTATATATTAGATTTAAAGCCAAATTTCCACAATTTAAGGTCCAATTTGAGTGAAACTTGTTCAGCATATAATGCCATATTTTAGGGAATGATATTAATGCTATACACTAAAACCTACTGATCTAAAAGCTATTGAGTAAGACATAATTTGTCTAGACTAAGACCAAAGTGCTATAGACTAAGACCACAGTGCTATAGACCAAGACCTAATAGCCATAGCCGATGACCTAAGTGCACCAAGATATGGTCACTAGGATAATTCTGTTACCCGCTGACCATTTTCCCCACACTCAAGCCGATTAATTTGATTTTACACCCAGACCGCCCAGCACGAAGAATAATCGCATTCTTTTCAGTGGGCGACAGACATAGTTTAAAATCTCACAATAGCAGCTAATAATATACAATTAATAGTATTTACAAAATTCAACTACATGCAAATGCTCATTCAACCAAAACAGTCCATTTCGTGTTCGCATGAAGAAGATGTACAGGCATGGGTTTCGAACTCGTCAGATTTGAGTTAGCGGACGTGTGTGTTACCACTAGACCACACGGTCTCCTAATAGTACTCACAAAATAATCCAACGACATCTAGGTAGGTCGCTAACCCCCCCCCCCCCCCCCGACCAGTATGGACATAGGTCAAATTCATTGATACGGTCCCACTAAATGGTCCCACTAAATGGCCCCACTAAATGGTCCCACTAAATGGTCCCACTAAATGGTCCCACTAAATGGTCCCAATAAATGGTCCCAATAAATGGTCCCACTAAATGGTCCCACTAAATGGTCCCAATAAATGGTCCCACTAAATGGTCCCACTAAATGGTCCCACTAAATGGTCTCACTAAATGGTCCCACTAAATGGTCCCAATAAATGGCCCCACTAAATGGTCCCACTAAATCGTCCCACTAAATGGTCCCACTTAATGGCCCCACTAAATGGTCCCACTAAATGGTCCCACTAAATAGTCCCACTAGAAGCCTTTAACTACAGATTACCAACTAGATCAGCTCAGGTAACATCATCCTACCCCCCCTCACCTGTAACCCACCCCCACCCCACCCCCACACCACAACTAACCTGCTGCTACATGTCTACACCAGTAAGGTCGGCACGTGTTTTTCTGTGTGAGCACATGGCTCATTAGCGGCAGAAAAATGCTCCAACCCGTTAGCGATTATGAAATTTTTATACCCGGCTTCAGCGAAATGCAAACAGCTTAGCTGCACCAGTCCTTAACCCTAGAGCTCCATTGTTGTCTTTAGCCTAGGGGTTCATGAAGCTCCACCATAGGTAATGTCGGAGTAAAAAACGCAGTAGTGGTTTGAAGAAAAATGTTAAGGACAAAGAAGTAAACCTTGATCATATTAAATTTTCATAGCTAGACGTTGCAATTAGCTTTAACTAATGAACTCATCAGTTATTTAACTCGTGAGGTGGCTGATCGAGGCTTTTTATTCTCTAAAAAACAAACGCCGTTTCCTCTTATAGATGGCTGTTACTTTGGAGTAATTACTTTTTAAATATATATCTTCAAATCTATTTTTATATTAAAAAATAAAGCGCTTTATGTTCTAACTCATAGTGTATCTTGTATTGCATTTAAAATTGTTTCTTTAGATAGCAACATACATTTATATCTATTTATTCACATTCATTTAATTAATAATACAATCCAATTTTTTTAAACGAACATAGTTAAACTTGTACTTGCTAAGCACTCCACTATTCAAACTAGCATCTCCGTGTTTACAGTGGAAACAAAGAATTTAATTGTACGTCGAAATAATGATAGATTACACACATATATTTTTTATTTAAAAGTACAATCATCAACGACCATTCATCAACCAAGACAACGCAATACGCATACACAATAACCGAACACACCTACACCGTGAACACATTTACCTATAGACCTGATGTTCACACCACAACGGGGAACTATTCGAACACTGTTCAAACCGCTTTGGTATTGATTACATTAAATACCATCTGCTTCAAAAGTAAGTACGTTATATTACAGCTCAACAGCTGCAGAACTGACCAATGAATAACTTTTTTTTTCGTTTTTTATATTTTCATCAGAATATCTGAGAAAACTGACGGGGATTTTCTTGTTGAGGAAAGCAAACACTAAACAGCAAATTACGGATAGATCTGGTTGGTTTCTCAGGAAAATGTTTAATTTTTCAGCGTGAAACTAAAGATTTTTAAAAGAACTTCTGAAGATCTGCGACAAAAAGCTTTGAAGATCTATGACAAGAAGTGCTAAGGATTTATGACAAGAATTGTTGAAGATCAATGATGAGAATTTCTAAGGATTTATGAGAAGTTCTGAAGATCTTAGGACAAGAGTTTCTAAGGATTTATGAGAAGTTCTGAAGATCCGTGTACGATTGAATGAACACTACCACCATACTACAAGTCTCTGAAGATTTTCTATAGTCAGTGAAGACCTCATTGAGGGGGGACCAAACAAGGAGATTTGGTGTTAGACTCCAGCAGACCAAACTCTGACCTGGGCAGGTATTGAGGATGTGGGTTCCGTTACGTTGGAGAAAACGGAAATTTTGTTGTTTTCATCGTTTCTGTATTTTTGGATGGTCGGCGAGAAAAGGTAAGGCGTGTTTGTGTGATATTGGTGGCGTCTTTTGTGTTCTTTGTGGTGTCTTTTGTGTTCTTTGTGAAGTGTTTATGTGATCTTTGTGTTGTGTTTATGTGTTCTATGTGGCGTCTTTTGTGATCTTTGTGTTTTTTTGTGAAGTGTTTATGTAATCTTTGTGTTTTGTTACGTGATATTTGTGTTGTGTTTATGTATTTTTAGTGTTGTAAACATGTGATCATTGCTGATGTCATGCCGTGATCTCTGCAAGTGTTTTGTTTGATCTTTCGAGTGTGTATTTATGATCTTTACTGGTCTGTAAATCGATCTTTATAGATTTGTCCATCTTATCTTTATCATTGCGTTCAAATTATCTTTACCACTGCGTTTGTATGATCTTTACCATTCGCGATCGTATGGTCTTTACAATTGTTTTATATGATCTTTACAATTGGTTCATATGATCTTTACAATTATTTCATATGATCTTTACATTTATTTCATATGATCTTTACCATTGTTTCTTATGGTCTTTACGATTATGTTCGTATGATTATTATGGCTGTGTTCATATGATCTGTATTTTTATTGATGATCTTTGCTTCATTAACTTTGTGTTAAACATATTCACACGCGTGATGTGTGACAACTAATCAAGCATGAAACACGTAAGCATATGTTTTTTTAGTAGTCAGTCAGTCGTACTAAGCGACATATGTTATACTTTTTAGCCAGTGAACCTTACTTAGCTACACATGTTTAGCCAGTCAGCCTTACTTAGCTACACATGTTTAGCCAGTTAGCCTTACTTAGCTACACATGTTTAGCCAGTTAGCCAGTCAGCCTTACTTAGCTACACATGTTTAGCCAGTTAGCCAGTCAGCCTTACTTAGCTACACATGTTTAGCCAGTTAGCCAGTCAGCCTTACTTAGCTACACATGTTTAGCCAGTTAGCCAGTCAGCCTTACTTAGCTACACATGTTTAGCCAGTTAGCCAGTCAGCCTTACTTAGCTACACATGTTTAGCCAGTTAGCCTTACTTAGCTACACATCTTTAGCCAGTCAGTCTTACTAAGCTACACATGTTTAGCCAGTCAGCCTTACTTAGCTACACTTATTTAGCCAGTGAACTTTACTTAGCTACACATGTTTAGCCAGTCAGCCTTACTTAGCTACACATGTTTAGCCAGTTAGCCTTACTTAGCTACACATGTTTAGCCAGTTAGCCAGTCAGCCTTACTTAGCTACACATGTTTAGCCAGTCAGCCTTACTTAGCTATACAAGTTTAGCCAGTCAGCATTACTTAGCTACACATGTTTAGCCAGTCAGCCTTACTTAGCGACACACCCGATATATATTACCTAATCCACTACGCGCTTTCCCCATATACCGAGTTTAGAAGTGAAAAAGAGTATATGTGACTCAATGTTACATATAAATGATAAAATGATATACTTGACTCCTTTCATTTTAGCTTACCGCTCATTAATTGTATACATATATAGGCATATATATATATATATATATATATATATATATATATATATATATATATATATATATATATATATATATATGTGTGTGTGTGTGTGTGTGTAAATGTATAAATAAAGTAATTCAAACCGTATCAGATGCAACTATAAATTCTACAAAATATTTTTTTCCTTGGCCAGTAACACAACTATCACCCGCTGTTATATAATGACTTGCTGTGAAAAATGCTTTTATTAGGTTTTAAACCTACTTGACGAGAAAATGCTAACCTGTGCTAATTACTGGTGCTGGGCTAAAATTGACGATAAAATGGAATTATGGGCCGGCTTTTGATATAAATGGCCTAATATATATCCAACAGGTGTGGGTGAAATAATGTGGGTCATTTAATAATTTTATTAGCTAAAATGGTAACAACAATTAAAATACAACCGGCATGAAGTTAAATAAAATAAAAGATCGGTACGTTTAAGGTTAGATTTATCATGATGAAAAAAAAGTTTGTTAGATGTAGAAAATGTAGATCGAACATTAGTGAAACTGTACTTTCGTGGATGTGATTCGTCATTGTCAGCAAATGTGTTTTAAAGTACGGTAATACAATTGGATGACTGCAATTTCCCTTCATCTCGTCGACGTGTGGATTTATTCTGACATTTATCTGCGGCTGTGGTTAGTCGATAGGGTGGGGTGGGGTGAGGGGGTTGAAGCTATCCCATCATACCGTCTGAGGAGGGTACGATTTAAAAATGTATTGCGTCACCAAGCAGTTTGTTATCTCTCTCCGGTCGCTGTTTAGTTGACGTCATATTTTGGTTACTGGGCACAATTGAGCAGACATCTTGCTTAACTACGTCACCTTTTAAGTGACGTCATTGTGAGCCATTGGAGTCTTTCTGGAAAATTATTCATAATAGTTTTGTTATCATTTTCTAACATGACTTGTTGATCACCATTATGTAGTTGTGGGGTGTCACCTTTATGTAGTTGGGGTGTGTCACGATTATGTTGTGGCATGTGTCACCATTATGTGATTGTCGCATGTGTCACCATTTTGTTGTTGCATATGTCACCATTATATAGTTGTAGCATGTGTCACCATTATGTAGTTGTGGCATGTGTCACCATTATGTAGTTGTGGTATGTGTCACTGTGCCTTACTGCTCACCCTCCACGTCACCATTATATAGTTGTGGTATAAGTCACCATTATATAGTTGTGGTATAAGTCACCATTATGTAGTTGTGGTATGCGTCACCATTATATAGTTGTGGTATAAGTCACCATTATGTAGTTGTGGTATGTGTAACCATTATGTAGTTGTGGTATATGTCACCATGCCTCACTGCTCACCTTCCGCGTCACCACTACACGTGTATGTCTTGCACGAGTTTCCCCCCCCCCCCCACTCTATGTGACGTCAGTTTTTAACCTCGTGTCACCAGTTGACGTCTTGACGTAGGTCACCACCAGTTCACCATGACGTCAATCAAACCAAAGCCGAGCTGTGTTTGTCTGGGTTGACCTTGACATTCACACAACCGGAAGCCTGCATTTCTGGAACTCAATTTTTCTCTGACAGGTCAGATCTGGCCTAACCCTCAGAGGCCCTTCATTCTACTGGAGGCTGGGGCTGTTTTAGCTTTCTGGCTTTTAACTCTTCCAGTCTTAATACACAATGTGTCCGTCGTATATATATATATATATATATATATATATATATATATATATATATATATATATATATATATATATATATATATATATATATATATATATATAAAACTATATATATATATATATATATATATATATATATATATATATATATATATATATATATAGATATATAGATATAGATATATATATATATATATATATATATATATATATATCACTTCTCCAGAACCTGACTAACCAGACATTTTTAAAAAGTTTTTGTTTTCTTTAACATTTCTATATTTAACACTTGTTGAAATCGAATTGTGAAACAATAGTAAGAGAAATAACGACGAATTATATTGACATTATCCTTTGTTGAATTTAAAACATAATGGTGTATACACCCCGAAAAAAAAAGAAAAATGAAGTTAGAAAAGCTTTCCCTGTTATATACAAAACTAGGCATGCTGCCCAGCTTCGCTTAGGCTTTCGAAAACATTGAGAATTTGAATGCTTAATTAATTCGCCCGAAGGTCGGTCTACGACCTCAAGAGTTATGAAGAGGTTCCTCCGTGGACATTTTTTTTCGATTTATAGCTCATATAAGGTACCGGTCAGTCGAGGTCAGTTTTGACCCCCACATCGTAGACTTTTCGGCCAACCGGCCCCCGTGTTCTGTCGCACCAAGGCAAGATCATGCCAAATTTGAAGCGCCTGCGGCGCCGGGAAGTGCCCTATCGGACACCCGACAATCTAGATCTAGATCTAGATTCCTAAAAGAATTTTTTTTTTAAATTTAGCCCGAGCATAATAAAAAAGAATACATTAACCAAGTTGACTTGCTGTGTCTCGATCCCGCACCACCTGCGTGGTTTAATGTACACTAACATCTCCGCTATTTAGGCACCTTATAAAATACGGAGAATGAAACACGTATTTTAAAATCTTAACTTACGCGAATATGCCTATTCTTTCAAATTAATTTTTTATCCCAAATTAGCCAGTTCCAAACAAAGATTTTGTATAAAATAAATAAGTCTTGAAATAGTTTAGTCCTAATATAGACATTTATTTTTGGAATTGATTTTAGAGAAGTTAGAGTCTAAATCTAGATCTTAGCGTCTACGTCTAGATCTAGTTATTGCGTAGATTTAGATTTAGATTTAGTCTAGATCTAGAATCTCTAGATCTAGAATCCAAATACATAAAATAAATTTTATGAGTTTAGGCCGGAAAAATTGTATTGTATACATTTCATAGTGTACGTAGATCTAAATCAAATTTGAATGAAATAGTTCATTTCTTTTCATTCTTAACACGGCAGATGACGTCATTAGTTAATGTATAAGCAATAGTGACGTCACAGTTTTATGCGTTCTTTTTCACATATATTAATGCTTTTCCGGTTGCATAAATAATACTGTTTCTCTACATTCGAATACGCCTTAAATTTTTATTTTTCTTCTTTAAGTAAAATTGTGGTTATACATTTAAAACATCTAACATATTATTTTCAACAAAAGTCCGTAAAAAATTCTCGATATATCGCTGCCGTTTCTGACGTGATGTCCGGCGAAAATTTTTTGCGGACAGAGAAAGAGAGAGAGAGAGAGATGTGCGCACATTGGGCTTTTATAAATTAGGATTTCTATAGCATTAACAATCTTCCTTATACTTAGTTAAAACCTAAAGGACAAATAACGGACATATAATCTAACCCATTAAACCCGTTAGGATTAGGGTATGGCCACAGGTCAAGTATTCCTATAAGGATCCCACGCTAAAAACCACAATCGACCAATTCAATGTCAATACAAAATATTACAAAACCCAGTTCACTCTCTCCTTAAAAAGATT